GAGTTGACTTCGCTAGACATTTGCAGTTTCATTCGATCTTAGCAACCCATAATACAATACATCTTGCTGATCCCGCCACATGCACAGCAAAGCTTTATGGCCGTGAATATTCCGCTTCGGTGTCCATGTGAACATTCCTAGGGGACTAACACATGACTTTTTATGCCTGGCATTGTCGTAGTGGATCGGCTTTTCGTCACCACTCACTTCACGCCACCGAGAATTCTTCTTTTCTTGCTTGGCAAACAATGAAGCTGTCATGTTAACAGTTCGATGCGGCATTTTCAGTCAATTTGCTTCCTTTTCGATCCTCCTCATTGCATGTAAACTTCTAGAAAAAGTTGATTTATCAACTGCCGAGCTTTTCGAAAGTTGTTTGCAAGCACCTAATAATAAGGAGAAGTGTACATAGATGTGTGTAGGTATAACATTTCACAAATAACGGCAAAGTCTAAATAATGAATTGAAAAAAAATTTAATTACTTTCGGAATCACAAAATGGATGAGCCGTATGTGTACATATTAGGACGAGCGCGAATAACAAGATATTTTTCGTCCGTCGGAACGCCATGAAGAAAGCCAGCTACTTCAACTAAAAGTGTCAATATCATTGATTATAGTGGATAATGGTTAAATGGAAATCCATTATATTAACCGCTATGCATAGGTGCTTAGTGTAGTAACTTTTTTATGAAAATCATGCTTCCCCTATGAGTGTGAGATCCTGGGTCTCGGCTCTCAATGACCACAGCTAACGACGCAATTGTGACAGGTAATCGCTGAATTATGTCAATAAGTCGTGATTCTCCAACGTACGGCCCCGGACCGCTTGTATCGACCAATAGCATTCCGACTGGCTGATTAACATTTTGTTCTTATGAAGAAGTATTGCTTTAAAAAGTGGGTAGTTTTTTCGATGTGATATTTGCTGCCTGCTGGAAAGATGGGAGAAAGCAGACGCTAGGTATGGACAATGTTTTAAGTAGTGAATGTGTGACCAATTTGCTACAAAAAAGTCACGAAGTCATACACCTATTAGGTACATATATATATGTTAATTATAGACTCCAGGTTATTTAATCAAACTTACTTTTCTGTTTTTTTTTACATAAATTTATTTATAAATATTAGAAACAAATAAATGCACGTCGTTGCGTTTTTGAATTTTCGTTCAATTTCGAGTAATCGAAACAAAAACAATTAAATCTTGTCAAAGACAAGGCCTACACGATAATCTTTGGTTATTAATATATACCTATCACTGCACTTACTACCACACTGGCCTCCTACGTGCACTAAATACGTAAATATGAAACCGGAATTTACCCGTAAAGGACCGTAAAACCACGTATAGAGGCCATACATGCCTTAAGTTGTGCTTCTTTTGCTTTCTTACTATATTATATTTTATAGAGTTTTCCTCGCGTATTTTTATGCGTTATACTTTGGGGTTTCCGTCGTATGCTTCTAAGCGTAATTTTATAATATTTTCAATGCATATTTTTATTCGGTGGAAGCATTTTGAAGAATGTAACGTACCTCTGTGGGAGTATGTATGTAACAAACATCCTTGGCAAATTGAAAAATTCGCAAAAGGTTTCTCTGGAACTTTCATAATGCCCCTCCACTTGATACCGGTTGACTTTCATCTAAGAAGATTTTTTTTATGAAAAAAATGTTACTATAATGGCCGCAGAAAAGTATTCAAAGAAGGCTTAGGCAAAATGAATTTCAATTTGGGGTAAATGAATTGAAGAAATGGTGGAAAATATATATTAAATGCGATAAAAATAATTTTCTCGTCAATCCGTAATTTGTTTTATTTTATTGTTAAATTATGAAGTTTCTAAAAATTTGAACCTCACAGGTTTAGAAATTACAAATGGAAAAAGAAACTTAGTATACTTTTCCACTTCGTTGATAATTCAAAAACAGTTAAGTGCAAGTGAACATGTGTAACCAAATCGCAACTATTAACGAGCTAACTTTATCTCGTTGCATTATGTCAGCAAAATGTCAGACGGTTGATATGGATAATAGTACCGGTTTTAGTTTATCGCTTATAAGTCATGGAGAGAAATTTGTTACTTTCAATTTCTGGTAAGAAAAAAAAAAAAAAAAAAAAAAAAAAAAAAAAAGAAAAGAAATAAAGTTAATTAATTTCACATTTATATAAAAAGTTTTACTTAAAGAGACTCACGTAAATATGGATTCATGTTTAAAATGATCACAGTCTTTTTTATATTGAAGACTGAAAAGATAAAAAAGAAAAAACAAAAAACAACTTTAGGTAAAACTTACCTTACTTAATATAACAATATTGTAGTAAATGTCTATGCGAGTATTTACTAGCACCACAACTAGGCCAAAGACGGAAGTTGTTGTTTTATTGTTGCTACTTTTCATTACATATGCGTTTCAGAGACTCTGCTTGTGCATTATTCGTTTTTCATACATACATAGACTTTTATATATCCACATATATATATATATATATATATACATAAGTACAAACTTATTGTTCTCTTCAAGTTTCCGTTTTCCTTTCATGCTATCATCTACTCGTCTCTATGGTTTTTCCCAAAATAACAAAAGAAAAAATACGTTCTGTTTAGTTTCTGTGATTCTTCTCCATGTGTTCTTACATTCTTTCCGTTTTTTTTTTTTCATTTTTTCATTTTCCTTTTAGGACAATACATTACATCTATTATTTACTAAGAATCTGTTGGTTTTATATCAGATAAAAAAGCAGTATAGCTAAGCAAAAGAGTTCACAACAGTAGCAGCAAAAGTACCGATATAGTTTCATGTTTCTATGGCATTAACACTAAACTGGTTCTAATTGATTATGATGATGATAATGATGATGATGATGATGATGATGATGATGATGTAGATGCAGTCGCTCTTATTGCATTCTTATTGCGGGTAATAGAGCACAACAGTTGTTTTTGTTCATTTAAACATATTTAAAATAATTTATGTTTATACTAAAAAAAGATTACTTGATTTCGTTAACGAAAACCCAACTAGTGGTAAATGAAAAATAAATTTGCTTTTCAAAAAACGAAAAAGAAGAAGAAATGGTATATAGTTAAGGAAATTCTAAATTGAATCCAAGTTGAACTATTCACTAAAACGTTCTTCAAGATTTTAATTAGATTAAAATACTTTGCAAAAACGTCTCCGGCATCGGAATTTGGAAGCTTGTACGTAGGGCAAAAATATATTTAGTCGATTAAGTATACGAAATCGACTGGAATAACATTTATTTTTCACCTCTTAGTTTAGTTGAATAAGAGTTTATTTATACAGTATGTCACTTGTGTTTACCTAATTGAGTTTGTCCGGACGTATATAACAACTTGAAGGGCTTAAGATAGACCCATTTCTTCTTATACTGATCGCCTGATAATCATTTTAAGCTTGTCTGTCCCTTTGAATTTTGTCCACGTATTCTCGTGATAGCAATTTTTGAAATATTTTGATGAAATTTGGTACACTGGGATATTTAAAAACAAGGACAAGCTTTTTCAACCCTTTTTCCTCATAGTGCCTTATTTTGAAAAATCATTATGTAAATAACTGTAGGGTTGCATAGGTTATTAAATGGTGGACCCCGGTTGGCTACATTGTTTTTACTTCTTAATATTATTATTTTTATAGCAGCTTTAAACTCCGCTCCGCGTTATGTGAATGTCGCATTATAAAAACACGCCATTGTAGAAGACTTGACTATATTCCACATGAAGGTAAAACAAAGAGAAACCCCTCACAGCTGCTTGGAGTTCTCGTCCTAGAAACACTAATTTTTCTCATTCTCATCTTCTCAGCTTTTCTATCTTTGCCAGCAATAACTTCTTTTTTTATATATTGCGCATTTGTGTATGTTTCATTCTATATAATATATGGCCTCGTGCGTGCTTTTTGAGGAAAAGTGGGCTACTCTTTGCTTAAGCAGAAAATTCCGCAAACGTAATCACCCACAGCGCCATTGACAATTTAGTGAAGTCGTTGTTTCAATTTCTGTTCTTACTGAAAGGGTTTGATAGTGCACCAGAGCAAAGCATGTTTTCACTTCTTGCAGTGCCTCACAGGGAAACTTTTGCTTTAGAGAAATTAAATTGGTGCAAGCTTACGGTTCTGCTAAGTACAAATTTAACTATTTTCGTTGAATTTCGTTTTATATAAATAATTCCCGTCATTTTTTTTTTAGCGAATACTGTGAATATTATCTTTTTTGTTGCTGATTTTATCTTTTTCAATGTTGACATGCTCGTCGTATATTCCACACAAAGCATGCGATGACTTACTTTTATTTTATTACATGTATATATAATGCAATGTATCCGCTGATTCAAATGAAAAATAGTTGGAAAAAGCACATACAAATATTATGAGAAAAAAAAAAGAAGAAATTTGAAGGACACAAAACATCTGCCGATTATCAATCTATAATTTTGTAAGAAGTTGGCATGTATAAAAAGCAATCAATAAGAGCGAAATTCTGCAATATTTTGCATGTTTATTGGGCAACTACTTTTTTAATGTCCAAGTATAATGTTCTTACTAAGAAAAAAAAAAAAATTACATTTCCATAAGAAACTCGTACAAAAGCAATGCTTTTTCCTGACTCGATGAATAGAGAGCGCGTGCTTGAAGATAGTTCCATGCAATGCATAGATACTAAAAATATTTATTTCGTTATGCAGACATGTTTGCTTAAGGCTGAAAGCAGACTCCGTCTAAATAAGTAGCAATTAATGAAATTTATATCAAAAAAAAAAAAAAAAAGAAAGAAAAACAAAAACACTAATCACTGGTTAGCAGCTCAAGATAAGCAAGTTGTCTTTTCTATAACTAATTATTTTTGTAATTATAACAAGTATATGTAATTAAATATTTCTCGTAATACAAAATTATTTTTATTATTTTATTAATAATTAATCTACATAATGTTTTTTTTTGTTTGGTTTTTTCTTTCATATTACTCGTTGCAGTGGCCGTTCGTATAGCAAAGATAGTCAAAAAAGCTCACAAAGTGATTTAAGCTTAAATAGTGCTGGTTCACCTAAGTTATTAGCAAAAACTCCATTGCGTAAGTATTACACAAAAAATTATAAAGAAGAAATGTTTATTTTTATAGATGTTAGCCTTAAGTTATGCTTCAAATATTTTAACAAATAATTCATATGTTTAGTGTATACAACAAACTCATAAAAAATAATAGCATACTTTTGCGCTATTCACGGAAACTTTTACGCAACATGTTTCTTTTTAACTTTAGTTAAGTGCATTCAAAAACATTGCTTATATGTATTCGAAGAGGTCGCGAGAAACAAAAAAAAGAGAAAGAGTCTATCAAATAAAATAATAATTCTCTCTGCATGTAAGAAACTTTTTTCGAATGTAGAGTATTAAGAAAAACCGGCTTTCTATTCATGCAGTTGATAGTGGTAGTGAGTAAATGAAAACTAAAGCAAGTGTTTTATTATTTGTTGTTATTATTGATGTTCTTTTATAGGTATTTTGTTTTTGTTGTTGTCGGTTTAGTGTAAAGAGTTCGTCTTAAAATTGCTTTACATGCTACATTTAGTCGCTGCACACACATTTATCTATACATGCGCTCGCATACATTTGCTCACCTTTCGCTGGACTTGTGAGGGTCGCCAGTATATCACATTTTAGTCTGCTTAGTCTGCTGTCGACTTTGCTGAAGATTTATAGTGTTTTTTCAGCATCAAAAGCGAACGAAACGAAGCAATATCTCTCAACAAAGATAGTCCGTCTGCGTTTTGCATTGAACTCTTAATGACATGTTATAACAAAAAAAAAAAAAAAAAAAAAAAAAAAAAAAAATACAAAAAACAAAACAAAAGACGCATCAGTCAAGTTCATACCTATACACATACAATATATATGTATAAAGACGTACATGGAAAATTTCATAATAATTTCTACAGAAAAGTGTTTTTAAAAAATATATCTATCTATTCTAAATAAAGAAAAAACAAAAACCAACGGAAATTGTGGTAAAATTGTTATTGAGGAAAAAAAAAAAAAAACCAAAAAAGCGATGATAATAATAAAATACGGAAATAATCTTAAATTCTTAGTGATGTGTTTGAAATTATTGTATACGTGCTTCGATGTGCTATTACGATATGTACATATGGGTACATATAGATATGAAAATAATCATATATAACAGTTAATGTAATTTATCAAAATAATAAAATGCAATTCCCTGTTATACGTTTGTTCGTTTGTTAAGCTTTCCCGTAGCAAAACGTCTGAATTTGATTTGATGATAATTTGTGTGACAGTAAATTTGAAAAAGAAAAGAAGAAGATAAAAAAGTAATAAAAGATGATTGTTTTTTTTTTTTTACTTACAGAATATACATTATAAAAGTCGTAACAACGCATTCATGCACCTCTCTCTCGCTCCCTCGTTTTGTATAATTTTTTTTCTCTTGTATTAAATTGAATTAAGTGCCCTCAAGGTTTTCAACAAATCTTCTCTTCCTCTCCCCCTCGCTTTCTATGCGACAAAAAAAAAAGAGATAAGAAAAAGCAAAAAAAAAAACAAAAAAAACAACAGTAACCCCTCCAGTAACATTTTTAGTAATGTTGAGCCTAAAGAATACTAAGCACAATGCAAACGCGTTTATATTTCTGACTGCAGAACATGCCAATATGTACAGACAAACATGTACACGCATACCTACATATATATCTATACGTGTAAATATGTATATGGCTCTATATATATATATATATAGGTACATATCACTATATATATATAAATATATATATATATATATATATACATATAGACATATATACGTTTAGAAGGGTGTTGAAAAAGTGTGTAGTTTTTATTCCTATTATCGTTGAATCTCTTATTTGAACTGAACTTGTTTTATTGGTATTTAATTTTGTTTTGAGTGTATTTTGTTTGCGGTTTTCATTCGTACCTTTATTTGCATACAAGCTTAATTCTGAAATTCTTTTTACTGTTGGTTGTCTATTAAATTCCATTCATTTTCGGTCGGTATTTCTACGTTTTTGTCATTTTAATGTGTCTCGAAGGTTTTTTCTCTTTTCCTTAAACGCACTAACGTCTATTGGATTTCGTATTCCATTTCTAATACCCACAAATACGATTTAGAAACGTCATCGTATGGCTCGATTTCGTATTAAATATTTCCAACCTGCCTGTCTCTTGTTTTATGTGTTCGCTCGTCCCTTCGTTTGTCACACTATTTTCTGTTATAAAAAAGTACGCAGGCATAGACACTGAGGCCTAAGGCCACAGTTTTAACGTGTACGATTTTAATTAAATCGCCAGAAAAGCATTTTAAAAAGAAGGCGGTGAGAAACGTTTAAAAGTCGAAAAGTATATAACTGACAATCTTTACTGGATAAGTTTCAAAATCTGTTACATATATTGAAAGTTCAGTGCGTCTTTTTAGATAACATTTTTTCAAATAGCGAGCAGATATCGTAATCTCGCCTTAGTAGACCCTTACAAAAAGAATAAATAAATAAAAATCCTTGTATTTAGTTAAAGTATTAAGTATTCGACCTAATACTAATATTTACTATTCGTCTCTTTTTTTTTTTTATTTTCGTTTTATTGTACGATAATTGAATGTCAAATTACTTCATAGAATTGTATAAATTTAGAAAACGTTGCTGATGTTGTTGGCGTTGTCATTATTAATTACAGGTTATTGATAATGATTTGAGTTCATTCTGAGTTTTAATAAAATAAATAAAAATGCAGTGACATACGGTGAGTATTTATTTTGACATTGCTGAGTTTGGTACTGTACATGAACCGGAGATAGATAGGCAAGTCTTTTTTTCATGGTTCATGGCTAAAACAAAGGGATAACCTACCCTCGTAAAGAACTTGAACACATATAAGCATGTCCTCTTACGGATGCTTAGCGCTTCTATCCTGATCTGATATAAAAGAAAATAGCATTTACTTAGTGAGAGAGCGCTTGATGCCATATGAAGATATTTTTAATCTCTGTAAACGCTTTAAACGGTGACGAATGCTAAAGGTGACGAATGGTAAAGGCGAAACACTTTCTGATCAGATGTATACCTTGGGGACCATGGCCGCAGCCTATCCCCCTTTCTCTGCGTCTTTCTGCCTTTTTCTTCCAATCACGGAGCAAAACACAGGACTTTGCAAAAGAAAATTCCGTTCTTACATTCTGGTGCTGGAAAGTTTACAAAATGTGGTCATGAGTGCTATAGACACGTACGCATCGCAGATAGGTAAGAAATGGAAACCAGTAAAATGAATGGCTTATCTTGATTGTTCGCAAAATACGAATTTCTCCCCTTCCTCACGGGTGGCTTTCTTTTACGTATTCTTTTCGTTGTAATAAACATCTCCAGATTTTAGAAGATACAGACAGCAAAGGACAAGAAAATGCAGCAGGGAGAACGTTTTCATAATCAAAATATTTAAAACTATCGAGGATTTTTCCGCCTTTGCTGGCAAGTCTAGAGCTCTTTTAACGTAGCTTTCCCAATGGGCGAAAGTTTTCAAGTGTTACAATAGACGGACGGCAGAGAACAATAAGATGAATAGCATGAATGATTCAATATCATGTGTTCTGTCTTTCTCTTGGGCAAAGCAGATTTCCGAGCAAATATTTTCTATATCCTCGTCACTTCACCACATTTAACATTGGCATGCGTTCTCATAGCGTGTCATACAACTGTGTATCTATCTCTCAGTCATTTAATAGGATCATGGGAATAAATGAATGTTTATGGATACGATGGATATTCGGAAATGATTTCTGTTATTGGCCGTAACCTAATGATGAAAATATTTGGAAAATTTGTTATTAAGACGGAAAAATTTTTCTTCCCCTATGCTGCTTGTTGTATAAGGATATATTAAGTTTGTACGGATGTATGCAACACCCAAAAAGACTTGAGATCGGCACAAATTTTATTATACCAATTGTGTCAGAATCCTTTTCTAAATTGATTTAAACATGCCTGTCCGTCTATCCATTTTGCCCTCTACAGGCCACAGTTTTTGCGATACTTTGGTAGAATTTTGTACACAGACGTGTGTTGGCCCAAGATTGAAAATGGTTCGGGTCGGGCCACTTTCTCGATCACTTTCCATGTAACGTCTTATTTTTTAAAGCCGTTTTTTGAATAAGAGCAGGGTGGTTTAGGGGATTTGATAGAGGATCGTGCCTAACTATAGAGTTCTTCGCCAAATTATGCCCAAATTTCAAATTTTATGTTCGGACATAAATTAAAGAGCATATGTGTCTGCATTAAGTACATAAAATACATTGAGTTTTGCAACCCGAAGAAATCCAGTAAGAAGGATTTGCAGAAGTAAAACATCGCTTAATTTACTCCAATTCCATTTAACACTAAAATTACCGATGTATTTCTACCTTGATCGCAGAAATGTGAGACATGAGTATTCCTTGATCGATTAAGCATCTTAAACAACAAATATCTTTGATCTTCTCACTTACAAGTCCCAAATGGGGAAGAAGCTGAGATAACCTCGAAAAGACGTCGACATATTTTCGTCTGTCAGTCTATTTCGAAAAACCTTTTACCCAAAAATCTGTCAAAATTACCTTGATGTTTGCTAATACATCGACAATTGATGATTAAATTATTGTTCCAATTTATTTCCAATTTGCCTGTGATAGGATGAAAAAGTTGCCAAAAAATTGTGGAACATTATGTTGCTTTACGACCATTCCTTTGAAGATAGAAAACGAAAAAGCGGCCAACACGACTAACTGGGTGGCACGCATTTCTGGAATTCCATCATCTTTCTGACTGGTTGGTGTAGTGTAAACGTAAATCGAGTTTAGTTAGGATTTTTTTATTTAAACAAAATCCTATAGAATGATTAGTTGAAGCAACGCTTTCTGCTGAGTTCCTTGGGTGCACAACTAATTTGAGAACTCACTTAGGACTCATATAAAGTGTTCTCGTATTAGTTGTAAATGTCGTTCGCTTTTAAATCTCTGCCTAATTTACTGTACAAATCAATTACTGTTTATTCTCATTGAGCTCTTATTTC